TCTGCGACCGAGCAGCGCAACACGGGCCCTCGAAGTTCCCAGTCCAATCTCGCGTGGTACGCAGACCTGAGCATGCCCTAAAGTGGCACCAGCCAAGGCAGGTGTTGCACTTGACTGATGTCACATTACGGAATATCCTGCTCTGACATACCGTGCAGATTGTAGGGGGAACCAGGAGTTGTTGGCGGCGGCGTGTGGGTGGTGGTGCGGTTGTGTGTGTTATGTGGTCTGTGGTGGCTGTGGTACGGTCTGTGGTGTTATTATGTTGTTGTGTTGTGGTGACTGTGTGAGGCTGCTGTGTGAGTGTGTGAGGCTGCTCGGGCGGACTGTGGTTAGCCGTGGAGGCTGCTCTGTTTGAGCAACAGGGGGCCACGTACGACGTGGTCCACTGTCTATGTGTCCGTAGTCCCGAGCAGACTCTGAGGTGACTCCACCCCTCGCAGGTATTACACTTCACTGAGGTGGAGTTGTGGTGTAATCGTCTCCGGCATACACAGTAGGTGTATGTTTCTGGCCCTGGGCTTGACTCGATGCCAGCCCTGAGTAGGAGAATACGTAGTGAATGTAGCCCTATGGACGGACAACTTCTGAGATACTTCGCCGACCTAAACGGGGTAAGATCGCCGAAACAACAGCCCTTGGTCGGGTAAAACCCGAGTCATTCCGGTACGTAGAACCGGCCGTCGTGGGAACGTCAAACGCAGTCTGTTTATTACGGCTGTAAAATGGGATTATACGGAATTTATAAGGAAACGCAGCCAAAATGTTTCAATATAGGTAAAAAACTTCGTCCCGCCAGGTCTGCTAGTATGGGCGTGTGTGAATCGGTAACAAAGTTCTATGGGGAAAGCTGTTGAATAATATTTTTACTATGGTGAGACAGTTTTGCCAATCTGCTGTGTGAAATGAAATGATTTTTGACAGCAGTAAATTTTTGATAACCGCAGATTTATTCTGAGTAAACTATTACAAATTGAAGTGAAATTAATATTTTAAGAAAACATCTACCATCACTGATTGCATTTCATCAATTTAAGCGTTTGATTTACGAAAAATTACACACATCAACAATCTTTGCGATTGTCAAAATTTTCTATGCATTTGTCAAAAATTTCACTAGCCTCATGAGCTACTGAAATTTTATTCACCTCATAGTTGTCAAAAATTTACTTGCTGCAAACTTTGTTACCGATTCACACACGCCCTAAGTACATATTTATGTTTCTTACACGCCTATCACAGATTCTGAGTGAACTCTCGCCGGGAAAAAATCTTCTGTCACGAGTTCGGGAGAAACGCTATCAGAAATTCCGACGCATTCGTAGTTAGTGCTGCCTTTGGTTTTTGTTCCTTTTTATGTTTTGGTTTAATAATTCTAAATCAAAATAAAATAACTCGACTTTGCCGGAGAATTTCGTGATAAAGACGGAATTTATGATTCGAAAATGCATTTTTTCCCCAGGGCGATGTTCTAAGAAAAGTGCGGCATTCAATTTTGCTTTACAAAGTATCGAGAAATTAATGTGTTTTAATATGAAATTTTTGGAACTCTTTGAATATATAATACTGATTACATAGTTAGCAGTAATATTATCGAGAACTCATAAGCAATACATTATATTATTTATCATGTAATGCATTACTGCTTTTCCAACTGAGATACTCACCTCCTCGTGATGAAACGTCCATGTTGTATGACGGTAATCAGGCTAAAGACGTGGAGTTGTAGGATTGTAGTGTAATATCCAAATGTTGCGGAAGTTTATTCTTATGTCGTAATACACCTTAAGACGCAGTAGTCAACGTCGTAGCAGTCCACTAACCGCTATAATTTGCAAGGTGTACTTTTTTCGTATTTTTGAATAAATGTAATAGTAATTAGTATGCCGTGGTTTAGTACGACTTTGCGGCAATGAATCACCAACTCACAAGTTTATCCACTAAAGGAACCAGCGTTGATGTGTTCTATGTTGACCTTATTACCAACTTTTTTACAATTTTGTCGTTCGGTCACTTAACTTTAAACCTTATTAGCAGCTCGTTGTCATCTCCTTTGTTCTCCACCATTTATTTCAACTTTTTAATTTACAAAATGAAACCAGCATAGTAGGTATGTATAACTTTCAACAGGGGATCGTCTTCAGAAACCCATGAAGACAGACGCTCGAATTAGGGGAAATGGAAAATAATTAATTCACATCACGGCAGCCGGGTCGCAAAGAACCACATGAAAGGCAAACAACGATTGTTAAAACGCGAGGAACTGACCAAACAAGACCTGTTTATTCTACGTAAAGCGCAACAGAGCAAATAAAAAAATACTCGTACCCACACCCGTACCAGATTGTAAAATACCGCACTAGCTGATTCCACCAGTTATCACTTTGTACGCTTACTTTGTTTAAATTATCAAATTCTCATTCAATTAATATTGCATTGCATTAAAGAAACAATAATGCAATTTCTTATTTTTTTTATTGACAAAATTGCTCCAGCATAAATGCACTTTTCCCAATTTTGCTTTGTTATTGATTTTCAAACTATTCACCTTTTTCACAGTCCTTCAGCCTTCAAAAACAATCAGCAACACTTTTCCCTTCTTCCTTGCATTTATATCGCATTTTTTAAACAACACTTTGTTGTTTTTAGCTTTTTCCAGAAATACAGAAAAACTGATAATTTATTTTATGTTCTATTTGGATAGAAAAGTGAACCAAGCCAATTCTTCCGCCACCACTACAACTCGTCTTTTGATGCGTTTGCTAATTTGTCACCAACGCTGGAACTCAGATTGGAAGCCAGCAAAGTTGTCACCTGGAATAGCAGGGATGATCTTGCGTATTGGAAAAGGGTTGTCGTTTCACCATAAGAATGGCTTTGTTTCTTTTCTTTTCTAGCAGATAATTATCAGAAAGAGGAATAATGAGAAAATTGAAAGAAGTACGCTCCCAGAGAGCGAAATAATGAAAAAGTATAGAAACGCAAAACTAGCAGAAACTAGCAAGTAATCAGCTGATCGGTGTATTTGGCTATTGAAAATATTTGGCGCGAAATTTTGTTTAACCATTTTGACAGCTGCTAGTTTCTGCTAGTAAAAATATAAGATCGAGAGAGAGCTGCTGGTTTCTGCTAGTTTTTTGGGTTACGAAACGATTTCCAGCAGAAATTATTGATAATTTGTGATAATTATCAGTTGAAAAACAAAGCTAATGACTGTATGAAAAAGAATTACACATTTTATTAAACTCACTTCCACACCTTCGACTAAATATGCAGAGAACGTTAAATACAAACACAAATGTATTTAACGTTCTCCGCTCACACGCCCTACTTCAACGAGTTGTCTCACTGGCCGTCTCCACAGGATACAATTTATTGCTGCCCAGCTGTCATTTTGGTCGCTTGATATACGTTATTTCAGCGGCAATATTTGTGTTGGCTTTTTTATACCTTGATATAAGCATTTGTATGATAGCTTCGAAAACGTATTTTTGCCGGATTTATTCGTTTAAAAAATTTAAAAAATAGGCTATTTTACAACCAAACACATAACAACAAATATTTTAACAGGAAACAGCTCAATTTTTGCTTTTATATTAAAATAATAATGATGTTGCAGCCATGAAGTGTTCGTGCAAATGAAAATGTAGCTGTCAAACTACCAAATTGCCGGCAATAGATGGCAAGATATAAGCTCTGATATATATTGCTCTCGAAGAGCAATGAGCGGTCTCCATTGGCAAATTATATTCTGACATATGTATCAAGATATAAACTTTATCCTGTGAAGACGGCCAGTCATATAGATTTAAGGCTCTGTTATGCATACTTGGCATTGCATGCACTGCTATACCATTTTTACGTAGAAATCAAAAACCAACAGACTTTTACGTATGTAATGCTGTGCGTTGGGTAACCGCTTACACGCGAAGCTCATTTAACAGATTCCTTATGTGACAACTCTCAAGCAATGCCAAGTATGCATAACGGAGCCTTTACGTTCTTTGTTTAGACTTACAGGAAAACGTACTGAATTATTTTGGTAGTGCAATTTAATGCAACCATGCGGTCGGTTGTTGCCATATCCTGCAACTCTTTAGCAGATAATTCCAGTGCTGCGTTACAACTACTCGTCACTAGATAGCGCTGCACTAGGGCGGTATTGTCTACTCATTTCTTTTCACTTACATTCGTAAATATTGTGATCGGAAAACTGGCGAACAGCGTTTTACTAACTTCTCTTGTTGCATATTTATTAACAGAAAAAAAGTCTTGCTTTTATCTGATAATGCTACATTTTCGTCGATTTGTCCATAAAGGATCAAAGTATGCAGGCCTTTTTCCTGTGAAGTTTTTCAACAAAAAGCACAAAATTCCTGCCCATCTTTATGCGGCCGACGACCAGTTGGTGGAGCAAATAAACAATGCTATTGAGCCCTTTATGAAGCAAACAAAATGTGACACCGCTGTTGAAATAAATCCTGGAATAGGTTTATTTACACGCAAATTAATAAACCGTGAAGACCAACTACGTAAAATTGTTTTAATCGAAGCTGTGGATCACTTCATGTCAGGGCTCAGAGACTTGCATAATTTGTATCCAGAACGCGTAAAGGTAAAGCATGGTGATGTTCTGGGCCTATGGAAATTGATGTTTCAGGATAATATGGACGGAGGTACACGCGTTGCTGATATGTTAAGTGACTTGCCAAGTCGGGAATTTAATGAAGGTGACTGCATTTAGTTTTCTTTATTACACATAGCAGCAAATATAATTGGCACTGTCTACACACACGCGCCACGGTAACTTACCGTAGATCCACGGTAAAAATTACCGTAGATTATGTGTTGCCGGAGAAGTGGGGCAGAACTTCTTTATGCGTAGGCGGCCTTCGGCCGCGCTTATGAATTATAACCCTTACTACTAAGAATTCTCCTTTCTGTCTTGCCGGAGAAGTGGGACAGAACTTCTTTCTGCGTAGGCGGGCTTTGACCGCGCTTGGGGATTATTACCCTTATCACTCTCCTTTCTGTGTTGCCGTAGAAGTGGGACAGAACTTCCTTCTGCGTAGGCGGCCTTCGGCCGCGCTTAGGAATTATAACCCTTACTACTCAGAATTCTCCTCTCTGTGTGCCGGAGAAGTGGGACAGAACTTATTTCTGCGTAGGCGGCCTTCGGCCGCGCTAATGGATTATAACCCTTACTACTCAGAATTCTCCTTTCTGTGTTGCCGGAGAAGTGGGACAGAACTTCTTTCTGCGTAGGCGGCCTTCGGCCGCGCTTAGGGATTGTAACCCTTACTACTCACAATTCTCCTATCTATGTTGCCGGGGAAGTGGGACAGTACTTCTTTCTGCGCGGCCTTCGGCCGTGCTTAGGTATTGTAACCCTTACTACTCTCAATTCTCCTTTTTGTGTTGCCGGAGAAGTGGAATAGAATTTCTTTCGGCGTAATTTTTGCCGTGGATCTACGGTAATTTTTACCGTGGATCTACGGTAATTTTACCGTGCAACTACGGTAATTTTATCGCGGTAAAAGTTACCGTGACGCGTATAAGTAGGCACTCCCAATATTATTTTATATTTATAAATTTCAGAACCGATTGCGCTCCTGTTTGGCGCTGTTGGCTGTTATAACTTTTTCAAGCACCTCATAAACTCGATAGTCTTTCAAAATGGTTTGCTTAGTTGGGGGCGTTTCGAAATGTACCTAGCTGTGCCGCCACCCATTTACATTGTAAGTTGTAAACAGCAGTAGTCTTAATATTTTCTAAACACATTCTTTCAGCATCTCACCTGCAGTCGGGAAATTGGTTATATGCTCTACAGATCATCGTCAATGCTTTTCCAAATGATGTTCGAGTACCGCTTCATTGCACGGCTGCCGCGAGAGCAATTCCTACCTAACCAAAGGAAAACTTCTGCAACAAAAGGTAGCAAGTTGTATAAGGTAATTGTGTTCAGATTCTAAAGCAGAGCTTAAAATCTTACATAAGCAATCTCATGTAGGTGGAATCAATTAACCCCGAATATTTGTACTTGGTTAGAATAGTGCCGCGCCGTAATTTTTATGATCTCTGCCCGATAAATGATTTGCAAGCACTGTGGTACTTTGTTAAACAGAACTGCATTAGTCGGCGAAATCGCATCATACCCAACTTAGAGTAAGTTTTTCGAATTAAATTCTTCAAAATAAGCAAAATAGCATCATAACAATGACATTTGTGTTTTAGAAAATGGGTACCAGGTTGCGGACCACGTCTCATCATAAACAGCGCTTCGTCTGAATCTCTGCACCCGCTTTATCCAGATGAAAATATTTCAGATTTACCGCACTATTCAACTCGCTGCACAACTATGAGCAATGAGGATTTTTTTCCACGCATGAATATTTTTACAGAATTCGGCGATCTCTCGCCCAGTCAAATGCTTACATTATTCACACAATTTCGGCACTGGCCTGAATATAGTGAAAGTTCATTCCTTGCTTCGCTTGAAAATACTTTGCTTAAAATGGAAGCGTCTGCCGACGAAAGCGGCATTGGCATCACTGAAGAAGATGATGTGCCAAGTGAAACTGCTTTGGGAGAGTTAAACGAATTTGAAAATGAACCCACAAAGCGCAATCGTAAATCTGCAAAAAGTAATTAACAGCTTTAAAGCGGTACACAAAATGTATATTTTTGTATTTAACATAATTTATGTACATTTAAATTTAGTTCTTAAATAAGCGAAGTAAAGTGTCCTTAAAATACACATATGAATTATTAGAAACATGTTTATAGCTCCCAAATTCGGATGGTAAATTGCTGGCGTAAGCTGGAAGCTACCTATTACCATTCCGTTTTCAATTGGCGTTTGGGGTGCAAGTGCCTTCAATCGAACGTTTAGTACCCCTAGCACACATCTCAATTTTACTGAGATCATATAGCGGTTCATCACCATCTTCTAACTCTACACGCGTTTTAACAGCAACAGACAACCTAACGCAATCCAACATAAGCGTCTTCGTATTCACTCCAAGCACATATGATAAATGCGCGTTCTTACATGGTGCGGCACTTCCAATCTCATGGCAGATTTGATGAATCTTCACTTGACCATCGACTTTACAATCATTTTTTATGCATTGCGGTATGGTTGCACCGGGCGCCAATACAAGCATATACTCATCTTCGCAGGGACCACGCCGGAACGCTGGATGGCAAGCGTCCGAGTCGGGATAGTAAAGTGAAGCTAGAAAAAATATGTACATATGTTGATAGAATTTGTATGCATGGTTACGTGAAAAAATAGTACACATACCTGGCGCACAATCACAAATCCAATCGTCTGCATGATCTCCTGGATAGAGTAACTCATTTTGTTTACAACGAGATGGTGAGTAAAGCGGGATACGTCCCTATTATAAGTAAGAGAAAATGACAATTTACTATTACGATATGCAAGCATTTGAACCTCTGTGCGTAAGTAGATTTGTATGGCCTTTTTTTTTTAAATAAGCACATTCCACATACATTAATACATATAATATAATTCTATATAGAAAGGCCGCATCTAACATTTTCATTAGAAACTTTGTAAAGACTCATAGTGAAATGATATATTATATATATATATATATATATATATATATATATTATATATTATATAATCTTATTATATATTATTTTTTCACTATGGTAAAAACTGACTTCTGGTTTTTAATAAACATTGAAACTATGTATAATATTAATGCAGTAGTGGTTTTCAAATACCATTACGGTCTTGGGTGGTGAATCATGGGTTTTTGTACAAATCAAAATTTAGAAAGAAAATGAGCTAAGGCCTTTCTGGATTAAGGTAACGATATGTAGTATACATGTACATAATTGAAGCGATTATGTTTATTTTCAATATGTGGTATTGATACACTTTCAAGCGATATTTGTAATCGCATTTTTATCAGTTGAACGGTGCTTCCCATCTTAGCAAAAAAGTCACATTAAGCGATAATCATTTTAATCTTTATAAAATATTATGGAAAAAAATAAAATAGGGGCGAATACAAAAATACCAAAATCGCAAAAAAAATATGCAATTTAAATTCTCTAATTTTTGTGTAAAAAATGGCTTATTCTTATTTCATATATCTTTTCACATTTATTTGAGAGCATTGGTTTTAAGCACTATATCTTTTAATAAAATTTAGGGTTACCAGACGTACTGATTTTGGGAGTAAATTAATTTTTTATCATATACAGGGTGTAAAATAATAACTTTCGCGCAGGTTTTTTTTAATAACAAAAGGGTCCTTTATAGATTTTGCGAAAAAAGTTGTTTACTGTTAATTTCCCAAAGATTTTACTTAATTTTTATTAATCAGATTTTAAAGTTTAACCTTTATTTGGGTTTACCAACCGAGTAGATAATTTCAGGAGTTAAAAGCCCTTCCGAAAGGCCTTCCTGAGAGTCAAGAGGCCTTTCCCTCTACATTCCTTTCTCCTTTCTGTTTTGCATAGAGTGGCACATATTGAAGGGATTCTTCTTTCGCTACCCATGGAGGACCTTCCAGAAGGTCTTCTATAGGACAGACTTTAGAAGGGCTTTTGGGAGAGTTCTTTTAAAGTTGCGTCTTTAATTTATAAAAATCATACATCTTTAAAGTATTTTCGCTTGCGGTTTATATCAAACATGTGTTATTGCAGCTTAAAATGTTTATTGAAATTTATTTGTAACACTAAATAATATAAATTTATGCATTCGCGTAAAGTGTAAATGGATAAGCCCTTCTAGAAGGCATGCAAGGAAGCACTTTTTTCAGCCCTTCTTAAGTTGTCCTCTTAGAATGGCTTTACTTAAACAGGCCTACCTAAATTATATTCTGGGAACGGTAAACACCTTGAGAGAAAAGCGCAAGCGCACGCAAGTCTTCGTCGGTTACTTTATTACATATCTTATGTAACCATAGGCTAATTTCCCCCATTTGAGTCATTATTATTTATTACGTTTATTTCAGTCTATGATATACATATATCTTACAGACTAGATAACAGAAAGATTTGGGTACAGATACACAAATACATACGAAAAAGAATTTATACATTATTACGCAACAAATAACAATAAAAAGAATCCAGAACGGACTTAAATATAAATCTAGGCAAGGAAAAATCAATATCCAATGTTTTGGAGATATAACTATACTCCTGAAGTGCTCTAAAGATTGGGGCGAACGAAAAATAATTCGCTTTGGCAACATCAACGTGAAACGGTAGATGGAACCGCAGAGCTCTGTGGGGAATATAGAAAGCGATCTGTTCAAGAAGAGCAGGGCAGTCAATTCTCCCAGAGATAATATCAGAGACAAACATTAGTGTCTGTACTGTTCTTCTACTTTCTAGAGAATTCTGTCTAATAAGCATGCAGCGAGCACTATAAGATGGAATGGGATCGGAGAAGTTAAGCGGTTGAAGAGCAAACCGAATAAATTTCTTTTGAACTTTTTCGATCCTACTAGCATGACAACTATACATAGGGTTCCAAATAATCGAGGCATATTCTAATTTTGAGCGAACCAGCGAAGTGAAAAGCATCTTTCTGGTATAGGGATCCCTGAAATTTTTAGCATATCTGCGAATACTATAAGCCTTCGGAAGCAAATAGCAAACGTGATTTACAAATGTAAAGCGATGATAAAAAACAACCCCGAGGCCAGTAAAGTCCCTAACTATGTCAAGCTGATTATTTAGGATGCTATAAGATAAAGAAAGGTATTAACAGTCTTAGATAGGGTCATGTGGAAGCATTTTTTAGAGGTTAAATCTAGGTTATTACTATGACTCCATCTAACAAGATTGTTTAAACCAATCTGTAGCTTGACAATGTCGGATGCGCAATTTATCTTGCGGAAGAACCTAAGATCGTCGGCATACAATAAAAAATTGGAATATTGAAAGCACGACCCAATATCGTTGTTAAACAGGACAAACAAGAGGGGGCCCACGACGCTGCCCTGCGGAACACCCGAAGTGGTAAAAAATTGCTTATACTTACAATGCTCAATTTCAACAAACAAGATTCTATTGGAGAGATAAGGTTTGATCCAGGAGAGAAAACCCGAGTGAAAGCCAATATTCTCCAATTTGCGGAACTAAAATTGAGTGCGAGACTCTGTCGAAAGCTTTCGAGAAATCAGTGTAGATGGTGTCTACTTGAGATCCACTTTTAAACGCTGAAACACAAAATTCAGAGAAAGTCACTAAATTAGTAACTGTGGAGCGTCCACTCACGAAACCAGGTTGATTGAGTACTACTAAGCCTCAATGGCAAACGAAAGTTTTTCTTTTACAACCTTTTCAAATATTTTCAAACAAACCGTTATTTTAGAATTAGGCCTATAGTTTTTAACATCATTCCTACTACCCGATTTATAGACTAGAGTTATAGGGGCGATCTTCCACCATTGGATAAACAAACCAGTGGAAAGAGAAAGATTGAAAATTATACATAGAGGTACACAAATCGAAGAGCTACACTGTTTTACAAATAAGAATTACAATTTTAAAACTAATTATAAAAATTAAAGTAAAATATTTACAAAGTTAACAACAAAATACTTTTTTGTGTGACAGTTATTATTTTACGCCCTGTACTCTACCATTCATATTGTGGCGAACACTACTTAGTCAGCAAAGTTAAATGTGATAGTAAAAAGGTGTAAGTATGGTCGTAGCCAGGTTGGTGCAGGGCGCTTGGGTATAAAAATCAGAAAAATATTAAATTATAAGGCTTAAATGGCCATACATTCAGGAAGAGTCTGGAATTATTTTGTGGAATTGAGTTATTTAATTTTAGCCTTTATTGTTGCTTTGAGAAAGATATCTAAGATATCTTTGTTGGTTTGTACCTAATTAATGAAAACGATCTCAAATATGTGATTATACATATATCGACCTCTTTGCGCAAAATTTTCGTATGTTACAAAAACCAAACTTTACAGAAAAGTGTTTTTCATAGTTTTCTCTGCTTTGGCTAATTGCTCTGCTTTGATAATTAAAAGATATAGCTAAACCCAACATTTTTTTGCAGAAGTGCCTCTACGTTCTAATNATCTGCTTTGGCTGGCACCATTAATACCAAAGTTAGATTCGCTGAGATAATTAAAAGATATAGCTAAACCCAACATTTTTTTGCAGAAGTGCCTCTACGTTCTAATTTCTTAGCACATATGATAATTTCTCCCGCAAGAAAAAAATTATTGTCACATACGATAAAATCAATTTTTGGGGTAGTTATTGGGATTTAATCGTAATATTTGAACAGGTGATGCGTTATGCGTTGTAAAAAAAAATTGCATCAAAAAGTGAATTTCGTAAAAAATTTAACGTACGATCATTTTGAGCAAAGCGGTCGATATGTATTTACTTTTCGGTAATTTGTGACAGTAAATTGCACAAACAATTAAAAAAAATTGTACTCCCTTTTTTATGTTTGTACCGCCTTTTTTCTATCGGAAATAGAAATGTACTTCTTTCTCCTTTTCAGAATCTGGCAACCCTAATAAAATTCAACAATATCGCTTAAAAAAATCTATTTTTTTAACAGAAAAAAGAGTAGCATCCGTAACGTAACGCCCCGAATGCACACATGCAATTGTTTTAAAGTTAATTCAATCTCTAATTTGGTTTCATATCACATTTTGTAAACTTCATTATTTTCTCTTCAAAGTATTTTTGTAAATTGTTCTCTCCATGCATGACAATTTGCGCAAATTGGTTGACTTTTATGGTCATATCAAAATCGCTTCCTTTATCAGTAACGTCCGAACATAAATTTCGAAGGCAAATACACCGACCCTAATACAAATTCAAATTTCCATTATCTTGTTCTCATAAATACTGCTATAAACCTTCCCTTATACCACAAAAAATTTTTAACTTATATTATTTTTTTTCGGCAAAAAGGGTAAAAGAAACGTCCGAACGTAACGTCCGCAATGCTGGGATTTGCCCATATCGCGAATTCGGGACACACTTTGTTATACACAAGTTATAATAAGTTTTTATTAAAAACCTATAAGTTAACCTCAGTTTTTCAATGCGTAGTTCATTTTCTTCAGCTAAAGATTCGCATGAGCTCTCCAAAAAGCGCTTAATTCCCAAAAACAATTGCAATTAATAACCTTTGACTAAAAAAAATGTTAAAAGTACCGAATTCAAAACAAAGGTTTATTAATGAGTGAATATATGTACATATGATACATATCGACACACTTGCACGCATACATATTTATATCATTATTTATGCATACTTACTGCCAGATTAGACTTCTCTTTATCGATTGGAAAACGTTCCGGATACAAGACTTGTGCATAAGTCAACTGAAACAGTGCAACAGCGCAACAAATAAAAAACATAATTCCCGGTGGGTTCTTTAGAGATCAAAACAAAACTGAAAATTATTTTCGAGTGTTCGCGAGTTGGTTGTCTAGACGGCGCAAACTCTTTGATAAACAAAATCAAAGTTTAGCGAAAGCTAGCACCCAATTGCGGCAATAAACCAAAATCAACTGAGAATTTAGCTGCAAACATAAAAATATCCCCACATTCGAGATTACGTGGAGAGGCAGACGATGAAAAATAAAAATATGCCGCTGAGGAGAGCAACAGAAGATGCTAAGAGTAAAAACTTGTATAGCAGCAAGATTAAATCAGTACTCAAGTCGAACTTATTATTAGACATGTTGGTTATTTTGCATGCATACATACATTAGTAAAAGACGTAATCAGTTTAAAAACTGAAACTCAGATTTACAAGTGAAATAAGTTTATATGTACGTATGTATATACACTTACGGAGCAACTAAGAAAAGATCCAACAGCAACAAACATTTAGTTTGACTTCCATACAGTTGCGTGCATCATTTCTCTGTTTCTTATGTAAATCAGAGCGAGTTTTTGTTTGGCAGGGCCGTCTTAATTAGTGACTCATTTGTTCCTGTCCTAATGCTAAGGCACAGATGTATTGTTATTTTTTTTTTGCGAGTTGAGGGTATTCACACCGAAAACTTTATAACCAGTTGATATATGTAATACTTCTATATTGATAGTAACTTCTCTTTACAATGTGTTTTTATTCCGCAATCAAAGGGAGGCAGCCTATCAAATAATTGTTTACTTACCCCAGTAGATAATTTCAGGGGTTAAAGCCCTTCGGAAAGGCCTTCCTGAGAGTCAAGAGGCCTTCCACTCTACATTCCTTTCTCCTTTCTTTTTTGTATGGAGAGGCACAGATTGAAGGGCTTTTTCTTTCGCTACTTATGGAAGGCCTGGAGGAGTTCCTTTCAAGTTTCTTCTTTAGTTTATAAAAATCATACATCTTTGAAGTATTTGCTTAAGGTTTATATCAAATATGTGCTATTGCAACTTAAAATATTTGTTTACATTGATTTCTAATGTTAAATAATATAAATTTATGCATTCGCGTAAATTGTAAATGGATAATCCCTTCTAGCAGGCATGCAAGGAAGTACTTTTTTCAGCCCTTCTTGGGTAGGCCTCTAAGAATGACTTTACTTAAGAAGGCCTACCTAAATTATCTTCTGGGATGTTAGTACAAATGTATATTTATGAACTACTACAAACAAACTGTGAAGCCACTCCAGGAGCGGGTTAAATAAAAAAAAATAGCCAAACATTTGTCCGTGAAAGTGATTGGGGCAAGCTTTGTGGTAACGGCGGATTTGAATAAGCCACAGTGTATAGAACAAGCAGCAAGATATGTATAATTCAGAGCGCAAACAGTCAACGACGTAGCATAGACGAAGGTTGACGCCAACAAGATCTACCTTACGGTATTCGCTTGTTAACGAAAACTCACCACCGCATGGCGGTGACGTTGCCGTTACTTCTCTCTCTTTATCAACAGTAAATTTGATATGCTGCTACGTACGTCAACGTACGTTTACGCTACGTCGTTGACTGTTTGCGCTTTTACTCTTGCGGCGATCACCGTACCCACTTTTAATAGATATATGTATACAGCACCTTAGCCGACATGTAGCGTCCGCCCGTTTTCCCAGATACGGCTCATTTTTAAGTAAATAGTACAACATACCGCCTCGTGCAATACGATTTATTTTTCCTTTTCTTTTTTGCTTCAACAAACAGCACAGTTCCTCACAATTTTTTATTTTTTATTTTTGCTTTTAAAATTAAAATTTAATTTTATAAAATATTGACGGTTACTGCACCGCTCCTGATTTTTTCCTTGATTTCCAAACGTTATTCTGGGTACATTGACTGGTTGGTTTTCTCGTTCTATCATTATATATCTGCACACTAATGTCGGCGAATAGAGTCCGACCGATTAATCGGCCGATGCCGAGGCTAGTATAGGTCAAATGAATCGGCATCGGCCGTTTTTGGCCGGTTCTTGAATGAGGTTATGTTATTTAGTTTAACTAGAATCGGCCGATTCTTTGCCGATTAAATCCTGAATATAATTTCATTTAAGGAACAAATGCTTTTATAAATTTTTATAATAACAAAAGAAAAACATAATCATGTAACTAAATAACAATACCTCATTCAAGAATCAGCCAAAAACGGCCGGATGTACTTTCAAAGTACTGTCAATATAGAAGTATTACATATATGCTACCTAATAATAAATAACCGTAATTGAGTACCCGTATTTACAAAAAAAAAACACGAAATATCTAACACCCAGGGCTCGAATTTGATGCAATGCCATCGTTTTTATGAGTTATGTTTAGGCTTATTTATTTATTTTTTTCGTGAAATCTTTTCTAGCAAGTTGTTTCATGTTTTCCAGCTTATAACGATCTCTATGTTTTGCCAAAACAACGCTCCCTCCTTTATCCGACCTGGGTGGGAAAAGGATGCATTCAAATATTTATAAATTATATAATCCAAGTTGTATTTAACAAGGTGGTATTGGGGCGACAGCTGCTGGCACTACGTCAAAATGATGTGTATGCCAGTATGGATATCTGCGTATAATTTGTTAGTCTAGTTTTATACTTATATACGGCCAACACCACCTTGTTAAATACACCTTGATATGATCATTAGAAAAACAAAACGGCCTCAAGCTCAATAAAATTGTTGAATATTATTGTTATAAGGCCATAAATAACAAAACAAATAACTTAAGGACGCGCACACCTAAAAGTTACACATTCAACAAATAGAAATATTTACAACAAAAACAACAACCAAATGATCAGTGTAAATAGCAGCGGAAAAGTGGAAAAAGTGAAACAGTTTACGTGGCGAACTTAGCTCAGTGGGTAGACTACTGGCTTTGGACGATGGGGTCGCTGTATGGAACCCCATTTAAGAAGTCTGATGAGGAGACGTGGTGATCTCCAAAATGGCAGCTATAACTTCTACCAAAATGTAAATTATTGTTCTTTTTCCACATAAATTTTCATTAGATAAAAATGGCCTCAAGCTCAATAAAATTGTTGAATTTTATTTTTTTGATAAAAAATAATAGTTACTATGGATTCATATATTTCTCGATCATTCCCTATCATCTACATAAATTTTATTTAACGTAGATTTTTTGAAAAAAGCCATCTAAAGCCAAGTGATATCGACAAAATATTAAGACTTTGCTTTGTTATCCTTGTTTTTATACGATGCGAATTTTGTTGGGATATTCAAGTAAGAGGTTCGAGGGTATACGGCAGAGGTTGAAACGCTGCCCTTTTGCAGGGAGCGTGAATAAAAGGTATGATCGAAATTAATACCTCTATTGCGAGTGTCGACTAGTTAGTAGTAGATAAATGATTATCGCTTTTCCATGATTTTGTGAATGTCGATTTCTCGTTCAATAAGCGACTGGGAAAAGATTTTAGTAGCTCATCCTTCTACAACTGTTTGTTTGAAGAAGGATGAGCGACTAAAAATTATGCACACTCACTTATTGAACGAAAAAACAACATTGAAAATACCATGGGCTATCGATAATCGACTAATAGTCGTTTACCTACTGCTAGTCGACGCTCGAAATAGGGGTGTAAATGCCGTTATCGTATTTTTGTTCCCAATAACTCTTTAAAACCAAAACCAAAATGAGAACAAAACTGTCTAAACGTTCCTAATGGAAATTATATAAGAACAAAACCCTGTGGAACGTTCCCAAAGAGAACAAGTTAACGTGGATTCACCGTTACTGTCCGGACACTTTTTGTTAGTAGTTTTACGCGTTCCTTTCCCACCTTGTCTCACTGAGAGCGCGACAAAAATGTGCTCACACTCTTTGTTCGAATCAAGTTGATTTTGATTTTCTGTCCGAACGACTTGATGATTCGGGTTGCCGCGTTCTCCTTTATATGCGTTTGCAGCGAATTGAAATCGTTATTTTGTTAGTTGTCCGGATACGAACGGTGAACCCACCGTTACGAATAATACTTTCGGGAACATTTCTAATAGAACAAAATGGGAACAAAAGTCTCCGGAATGTTTTGGAAAAGAACTAAACAGCAACAAAAGCCTAAGGAACTTTCTGAGTGAGAACGAAATGGGAAAAAATCTTCTCTGAACTATTTGCGAAGAATGGAAGCGAGAACAAAATTTTTAACATAGCGTTCATTAGTTTGAAATGTTTGAATATTAAAATTAATCAAGCAGCAACTGAAAGATAATTACGTATGGGCCATTCCATTGTGACTAGTGGGACAATTTACTCCAGACTGTGAACAATTGTTAATTTTAACTATGTTGTCGGAACTTATAAAACAGCGAATTATATTTTTTAACATAGAACGATAACTAATGTAAAAATTTGCATTAACAAAAATATCCAACGAATTCTTAGTTTTATATTACTATCATTTGAATGAATGTTACTGGTGGGACACGGAAAATAACTTTATTTTGCCCTTGTGAACTCAAAGATGAATTTTAGCGAAAATACTTAATTTTCACGAACTATCTGTTTGTGTTGTAAAATATAAATTATAAGCTTTCGTTTTCAATAAAAGTTTGGTTTATACAATCCTCATAGAAATATTGGAAAAATATTTAAAGTTGTGACTGGTAGGGCATATCCTTGTGACTGGTATAAAGTAATTATGCATGAAATAAAAGTTTCCATAGACAAAAATTACAATTTCTTTAGGTTTTTTTTAGTATTATTCCACAGGTTAATGAAATATATAGTAATTTAAAAAGAAACTTAAATAGAAATAATTAGGACATATTTAAATTTGTGTCGTTTTCCTCTTTTTAATGGAATGACCCATATGCTAATTAAGTCAACGAAAGACTTAAGACACGAACTTTTCTTGCACAGAAAATGGAAACTTGTTTCATAAATGGACAGAATGATAAACGATCTGGAAGTGGAAATTATCCACGTTTCATCTCCAATTCCAAATTTTTGGCCGATGACGATGCCGATTATTCGGCCTTAGGGCAAAGAATCGGCCGTTGCCGATGCCGATTCTTAAATAAAAAATACCTGAATAATAAATTCATTCAAGAACAAAAGTTTTTGATAAACTTTTATAATAACAAATGAAAAACATAAAAAATAACATAAAAAAAACAAACAATCATTCAAGAATCTATTCACTTATTTTGTTCGCATTTTGTTCTTTACGGAAACGTTTCCGAACCTTTTGTTCTCGTTATCTTGGTTCCCGTTTTGGTGTACTTTTTTGAAACTTTGAATTTTCGTTATGCTAATTTGAACACCATCATTTTCAATAATTTTATTCCAGTCCAGTATCACGACAATAATAACCCAATCATATAAAGGAATCTCTAAAATTTCTGTATAGCCTTTTTATTAAATGTACATATTTCGAGTTTTGTTTTCATAAGACAGACCCAGCGTCTACATACCATAGGCATCAGCAATTTGTACACTTTGTCGATTTTCTGCTCGAATGCTTATCCATCAACTTCCGGATTGAACATTTTTTTAAATTTCGAAGGAAGGCGAATTAATATAAGGTGGGCAGGAGTACAAAAATAAAAATTTACATGTATGATAAAGTGTATTTTGGTTAGTAAAATCTTTAGTTTAACCCTTTTTAAAGAAGTCGGCGCCTTAAATGATTGATGACGATAAATGATTTGAAAAGCTTCTTGCACATGATTGTAATGGAAAACAGCTAAATTCATTTAAAACCGAGCTTTTTTTCAAAAACTCATACAATTTAACCTTTTCATAATCTTTCAGTTTAGATCATTTTTAAGAATTATTAAGTACATATTGACACTTAGAAGGTAATTTTTTGCTAGTTTTTAAGTAATCAAAATCCGAGCCCAGCTAATCATAAAGCTTTTATGTAGTACGTATAAGTGAAGAGCAATGCATATACTTCGTTAATAATAGTTGAGATAAAATTATTAAAACTTATATTTTCAGTAGGAACTATTTTATCACAAAAAATATATATATTACAAAGTATTCATTCACTTAGATTGATGCTTTGATTCCTTCCTTTTGGTTTCGTGTACTTTGATGGTTTTCCCTGAAAAAAAGCACGAGTTTGAAATTACCAAAATGTACTAAATATTGAATAAGAAAAATCTGCATGTAAAACATTATACTCAGTTGAAGAAACAATCAGCGTTATCATGAGTTTCAATTTCCCCGAACCGGTTTACTTTTCAATCTTGGTTTCCATGTTTTTACTATAGGCGGATGACGAATTTTCGGGTGAACTTTTTTCAGGCGAAACTCAGGATAAGGCAGAATATTTATATAAAGAGTGTTCGCTATGCAAAAAACTTGTACAAGTTGGTACCAAATGTTACCAAATCGTTTTCGTTTGGCCAAAAACCCAGTAAAACTTGCAAGGAGAGAGCACAATTGTAAAATTTCATTTGGGGAGGAAATTGCAAAATCGTGCTGGGAAAATTTTTGCCAGCAGGATTGTGGCACACGGTTGCATTTTTGTCAACGTTAAATTTAAAAATTAACAATCTTGTGGCGATTTACTTATGAAAGAGGTATGTAAATACATATTTGTTTATTCAATTAATTTAATTAATTCCAAGCATATGAAGGGTAATCGGCTGAAAAAGCTGTATTCGTAACCGGAACGCAGTCGACATTACTTACTGTCGATATTGGAAATCCGACAGTGACTTCCACAAATAAACTGAAGGTTATGTTATGCAGCGTTTTTGCTGCATTTAAAATGCAACATTTAGCACTTTCGAACATCTGTTTTCGAAGAGCGTTCATGCTATCGCATTTAGCAAATGTACATTTACGCGAGTTCGAAGTCGTATGCTTTTGACAAACAGCCGTGTTCCAGTCGCTTATTCAGATCCGTATCTATTACGATAAATTCTCACGGAAAAGATAATGTCCAAAAATCACTACTGAAAAGGAAAAAATAAATTCTAAACCGAAAATTCAATACAAAAACTTGAATTGTTTTAACCATAACCAAACATTTGTTTGTGTATATATTCATTTGTCGGTGCTGTCAATTATAATTTCCACACTTAATTAGGAAACAAAACAAACAGAGTTGATCACAAATTAATCCAGATTTCTATCAGCATCATATCGATGTTTAATTTGCG